AAGGCACCGAAGTTTGGCCGACAATTGCGGACAACACTCGCGATGTGTCCAACGGGTGGCCAACTGTTGTGCCGCAGGTGTGAGAGCACGACAGCGACGGCCACACAATCGGGTGACCACTTGTCGGCCGACAAGTTTGAGGAGAGGCCGCAGTTTCCCGGCTCGAGGTCTCAGTGGACACAAGAGTTGAAATTCATTGATCCCAACGATTACGACGGGATTCCCGTCTATCGGGTGGTCGACAATAGCGGCAACTCTTGCGTACAGGACTTACAAGAGTTGGACACACGGCTGGACAGAGATCTACTCATACGACTATATCGGGGTAATTGTGCCGACAGTCCTCTTGTTGTCCACTCTTTCGCCGAGACTTTTGTTAATGACTTTTTTGGGTAACTAATTGTGTCAATCAGTTAATACAGTGATGTGTCAATGGATTCCGTAATTTAGTTATTAGTTATCATATGATTTGATATCAGTGTTCACTATAACGGGGGTTATTAAGAGGAACAGCTGTTTGTGGTATTCGATGATTATTTGTATATTAATGCGATTTCTATTTGACATGAATGGCAGGAATGGTAAAACTGGATCAAATCGATACAGTCCTATACAACGCCCAAAGACAGGGCCGGATCTCCTTCTACATCACGAGCCACGGCGAAGAGGCCACTCATTTCGGACCGGCGGCCGCTCTCGAGGCCGACGATATGGTCTTTTGCCAGTATAGAGAGGCCGGTATGTGTCCAATGAGATGACTATTTTTGGTAGTTTTAGTTATCATTAATTTGATTCGATATGCAATTAAAGGTGTACTGATTTGGCGCGGGTTTACCATTGATAATATGCTGAACCAGTGTTTTGGCAATCGTAAAGATTTGGGAAAAGGCCGCCAAATGCCCATTCATTACGGCAGCCGTGACTTGAATTGCGTGACCATTAAGTCGACGCTGACGTCGGAAATGGTGCACAGCGTTGGGTCGGCGTATGCGCTGAAACGGCAACAGAAGGGCCGTTGCGTTCTCTCCTACTTCGGCGACGGCGCCGCCTCTGAGGGCGACGCTCACGCGGCCCTCAACTTCGCCGCCACTCTCGACACGCCTATCATTTTCTACTGGTATTTATTCGCTCACTTTGACCATTGAGTCAAAGTCATAAACCTAATTATTGTTGTCTTTCATCACTCATTAGCCGTAACAATGGTTACGCCATATCGACGCCAACCACTGAGCAATACCGGGGCGACGGTATCGGTACGTGTGGACCCACTCATAGCTCTGGTTATTGTAATGTTTGTTAACTTTTTTTGCGCTGTGTTTAGCGGCGAGAGGACCGGCGCTGGGAATACCCACCATTCGCATCGACGGCAACGACATTGTGGCCAACTTTGTGGCCGTGGCTGAGGGCCGACGGATCAGTATCGAAGAGAACCGTCCGGTTCTAATAGAGGCCATGACTTATCGGGTGTCCCATCACTCGACGTCCGACGACTCCAGTGTTTACCGCAGTGTCGATGAAGTGAAGAAATGGCAGAAAAACAATCATCCGATCAATCGATTGCGTAAACTCTTGGAGAAGAGGGACTGGTTTTCGGAGACCGAAGAGGATCAGTACAAACAGGAGGTCCGCAAAGAGGTGTTGGCGGCTGTGGTTCGGGCGGAGAAAGTGCTTAAACCCAGCCTTAAGACTATGTTCACCGACGTGTACGAGGAATTGCCCGACCATTTGGCCGAACAGTACCGCGATTTGGCCGCACACGTGACCGCCTATAAAGAGCACTACCCGATGAACATGTTTGAAGACAGCGC